TACTTATCTTGGTAACACTTAATTTAAATGTGTCTTTCATGCCCATTACATGTACTTATTATAATAATAAATTATGCATAATTACATGCAAGTAACCCTAAGACAAACCCTAATTCTAACTCTAACCATATGTGACCCTGGACCACAAAACCAGTCTTAAATGTCAATTTTTCAAAATTGGGATTTATACATCATCTGAAAGCTGAATACATACACTTTGGGGAGGATTTCCGAGCGTAGAACTGATCTGTTGTCCTCTGGTGTGAGTCTTCACACGCTGGAAATAAGGACACATGGAAAACTCTCACGCCAGCATGCGTGCGCGCCCATCTTAAAGGAGCACAGTCTGAAAGTTGAACGTCATTTTAAGAGCACTCAGTGTGTGTCCGTACGGTTGCTGGCATGCATGTGTGTGTTTGTCAATCATTCTGATGGTGCGACGCTTCTTTTCCCTCACTACTGACACATTTGTGAGGTGCTGAATTATTCTCTCTCTAATAATCTGTTTTATTTGTACGTTTACACCGTATTTTTCGACTGTTGGTCTTCCCTATTACCTTTTCAACTGCAGAAACTGTTCAACGTGGGTAACAAAAACTATTTTGGACCCACTTTATATTAAGTGTCGTTGACTACTACAGTACGTACTAACATTTAAATTAATCATTTGATGCATTGCACTTTTTGTGTACATACGTGTCTTTACATTGTACTTATACTGTATATATATATAAAATGTGTGCATGTAATTTCATCTGTAATTTATTTTCTTGCATCTATTGCATAAATTACACTGTTAACCTTTAAAACTAACCATACCATAAAGCCTGTCCCTCACCTTAACTGCATCCAATCTCAATAGCAAGTGTTCTACAATACAAATTAAACACAAACAGTACATTGTACCTAACAGTGTTTTTAGTATTATATACTATTATAATATTTATTAATATATATTTATATATACTTAAAATACTTATCTTGGTAACACTTAATTTAAATGTGTCTTTCATGCCCATTACATGTACTTATTATAATAATAAATTATGCATAATTACATGCAAGTAACCCTAAGACAAACCCTAATTCTAACTCTAACCATATGTGACCCTGGACCACAAAACCAGTCTTAAATGTCAATTTTTCAAAATTGGGATTTATACATCATCTGAAAGCTGAATACATACGCTTTCCACTGATGTATGGTTTGTTAGGATTGGACAATATTTGGCCGAGATACAACTATTTGAAAATCTGGAATCTGAGGGTGCAAAAAAAATCCAAATATTGAGAAAATCGCCTTTAAAGTTGTCCAAATGAAGTCCTTAGCAATGCATATTACTAATCAAAAATTAAGTTTTGATATATTTACAGCAGGAAATTTACAAAATATCTTCATGGAACATGATCTTTACTTAATATCTTAATGATTTTTGGCATTAAATAAAATCGATAATTTTGACCCATACAATGTATTTTTGGCTATTGCTACAAATATCCTGTGCAACTTTGTGGTCCAGGGTCACATATAGTAAGTGCATGTAGTTAATTAATATTACTCAGTACCTAAAGGTATAATTACACTGTAACAAGGACACCTTAAAATAAAGTATAAACCTTTTTCTAATATTTTTTTTTATCTAATATAATTTCATTTCACCTTTATTTCAATGACTGAAAATTATTTTTAATTAATTTTAGTTAACAAGTACAACACTGACACAAACAATTGATTGTTTTTTTTCATAAGTACATTGTAGTTAAAGACAACTAATATAAATGTAGTGGGACCACTATTTTTTAGGCATAGAAATTTAGCATTTTTTCTTACCGGAGTACATAACCTTATAAAGGTTACCCATTTGCCATTTTAAAGATTGTGTACATATAAGTGTGGACACTGGTTGAAGTATTAATATTCTGTGCATTGTACATTTAGTCCTACACGGTGTACAGCATTGCTTTACTTTGCTGGTACTTTTCTAAGCAGTTGCTCATGAAAAGGTGTCTTACGTTTTTTAGCTACTGTGCAGTGTGGACTTCATGGACATGTCATCACTTTTTATGATGGCTAACTGTACATATACTAATGCATCTTCTTATTTTGAAGTGAAGCCTCTTATGTTTTCTTAATGTGTTTTGTGCCAAGAATGGAAGCATGTTTTGTGCCTCTAAAGCCTTTGTTTTCTTTCCCTTTCATGGTTTTTTTTTTTTCAGTGAGCGACCGCTGGTGTGTATCCATGGGAGTGGGGAATAAAAGCTTTTCTGTTTATTTTATGCATGTAGATACATTTTAAGCACAACGTGATCAAAAATTGTTCCACAAGTGATGTTTCTTGTTCGAGTTATATGACTTAAAATCGCAGATCTTCTCATATCAACTCTAGAGAGCACTCTGAGCCAATTTCTTCCCATGATGCAAATGCATATGCTTTGCATTAACCTGTTGACCAGCTGTAAATAACCTGTATGATAACTAGTGTTGTGTGATTATTTGTATTTCTTTCTTTGCTCCATTCTTGTGTGCCATTTTCAGTATGTTGTTTGATAAAATCAGCTACTTGGACAGATGCTTGCACAGTGTGTTCTCATTTGAGATTTATGGTCTCATCCATTTGGCTTATTGCATAGTTAGACTGTTTTTAATACATTTTTAAACAGATTTTAATACTTTGGGTGCATGAATAGCACTGTGTTGCAGACACTACTGAGGGTGGTGCTTGATTTCTGTCTACCTTAGAGGACAGAAACATGAATATAATAAAACCATTTTGAATTGAATTAAGATCTATGAGTGTAACTTGTAATTTTTGAAAGTAACATTTATGTATAAGCACTTCAATTAGCCAGCTGGGCGTTTTTACACTATATGGGGTATGTTGTCACACTGATAATGCTGCCATAAAACACTATGTTGGACTTTGCAACAAAATGTAAACCTTTAGACAAATGTGAAACTACAAAAATATAAAATTATGTTGACCAACAGTGTTAATAAACTGTATAAGTTACATGACAACCTGATCAGCCCCAACCTGATTATTATAATACTTACTCGGTGAAACAGTTACTTTATGGTTATGATCTACCATTTTAATTATATAGCTACATAATGTATTTATCCTATTAGCCCTAAGAGCTATTGCAGAAATATGACGATTTATCATATGATGGTTTCAGTTTATGAGAGAGAGAGAAAGAATATGATTGAATTAATTGATAAATCAAGCGCTTATGTAGGCCTAACGTCTTGACTCAAAACCTTATGTCACACAGCGGTCAGTAGCCTAGTAATGTTTGACAAGGATGCGTTGCTGAAAGTTAAATGATAATGAAATAATAAACTGAAATTAAACTTAATTTAACCATCGTATATTTCTTTTATGATTCCTGAAAAAAACATTTATTTTTCCTCATTGTGCCCTATTATATACAGGTGCATCTCAATAAATTAGAATGCCAAAGACTTAAACTACTTCAGTCTGTGTGCATTGAATTTATTTAATACACGAGTTTCACAATTTGAGTTGAATTACTGAAATGAACTTTTCCACGACATTCTAATTTATTGAGATGCACCTGTATATGTGTTGATATATGGCGCCCTCTACTGGCGCTGTTGTCTAATCATCAGCAAAAAAGAGAAAGCCTGAAGTAAAAGTATGTCTGTAAACGTGACGTCACTCGCGCCGCGCTGCTAGGATACGGTAAACTCCTACAGACCTGAAGCACTAAACCATCAAAACCCAGAAAGCGTCACACAATCAGGTAAGATTACTGACATGTCTTATTTTGAAACATTTAATACCAAACGGGTTCCTGCCATAGACTTATACATGCCTTGGTATGTTCTGTTTAATGTGTATAAGCACGACCATCTCATTTAAATGTAGCCTACATGATATCGTTGTGCTGCTGTTTGACTGGACGTTCTTCACAGGAAAAAAGGGGGAACGTATTTTAGGGCTACTACTGTGGTGCTGCTACATAAACGAAGCAGGTTCAGACTTAAGTTTTTGTCAGGAACGAGACGTTTAGTAAGCACTGAGCAGACAGTCTTGTGAACAGAGGCTTTGTAATGGCAGGTTTAGTCAGTGTTGTAATTTAATATAAACGTTCAAACGTTTATGAACGTTTTTGAATGATTATTTACAACACAAAATGTCGTTTTCAGAGTTTCAGCTTGATTTTCTCATCACTAAGTGGGCGTGACATATTATAATTCCTCTAAAAAAATATTTGAAACAAAAAACGTAAAAACTCCATGTATAATAATAATTATAGAAACTTTTATGAGCTCATTAATTGAAGGGATATATGGCATATTTGTATTTTTAAAAACTAAGTTGTCACCAGTGTTGGGGAAAGTTACTTTTAAAAGTAATGTATTACAATATTGCGTTACTCCATAAAAAAGTAACTAATTACGTTACTTAGTTACTTTATATGGAAAGTAATGCGTTGCGTTACTTTTGCGTTACTTTTTAAATCTGGACAGGGCTTGCTTGTTTGTTTTTGAAAAAGTAACTCAGATATTCTCTTGTAAATTAAAAAGTAATGCGTTACTTTACTAGTTACTTGAAAAAAGTAATCTGATTACGTAACTCGCGTTACTTGTAATGCGTTACCCCCAATGCTGGTTGTCACCCATAATATGTCACCTGTTTGATTTTCTCATCAGTAAGTGGGTGTGACATACTATAATTCCCCTAAAACTAGTAAATAATAAAATAAAGTAAAAAGTCTATGTATAATAATTATAGAAACATTCATTACATCATTTATTGAGGAGTTATATGAAATACTTGTATTTTTAAAAATGAACTTGTCACCCATAAATTGTCACCAGCATGATTTTCTCATCATTTAAAATTAGCTAGTGAAAGCAAACATTTTATCCCACAACTTAATGTTAAAAATTTTAAAAAAAGTATAAAAATGCATATTTAATCAAGAATTGTTTACACAATCCTCTTTTAACATTTCTTACCTTTAGCTAAAATGGAGATTGTGTATGTGTACACAAAGAAGCGCAGTGAGTTTGGACGCCAGTGTAACTTTTCCGACCGTCCAGCTGAGCTGCATGTGGACATTCTCCCTGACACGTCCCTCGCTGCAAACTTCACAGTGAGAGATCCGTGTAATGTGACAGTTCAGTGTGCCAAGGAAATGTCCGAGCATGAGGTGAGACCAGCATTAACACTATAACAAAACAATATGAATTATTTTCCATCATGGACTGAATTATCATGAAATTCTTGGCATGCTCAGGTGAACACAGAGCGCTTTGAATCAGAGTCACGAGGAGTAAACCATGTGGAAGGAGGTTGGCCGAAAGATCTCAATCCAGAGGACATGGAGGCGACCATCCGCTACAGGAAGAAAGTGGAGAAGGATGAACACTATCAGAACACCATCATGCAGATTGCTGGTGTGAGTGCCATAAAGTGTTAAACATCATGTATTATATGAGCAATATATGAGACGAGACTTCAATCTCAGAAGACATGTTTTTGATTTCTTTATTGAAAAACAAGCCCAATTTTGCCCATTGCAGCTCATGGAACACTGTTGCAAGCAGAACAACACCACTGACATCTACCAGGAGTTCTTTGAGGATGAGGATGAGGAGGTAATGGAGGAATCGGAGGAACAGCCATCAGCAAAGACAATCAATGTCTTCAGGTGAGCGCACTTAACTGTAATGATAGAGCAATATATCAACAAGGTCACTTTTTTTAATTAATAATTTCACTTTTCAGCCATTTGAAAATTATATGGCTCAATTGTTCTATTGAGTCATATAAATAGTCATATAAATTGAGTCATGTTTCGGAAATTTTGGATAAATATTGTGCTCATTTAAATTCAGCCATTTTTTCCAAATATATTTTAATCTTATTTTCTGTCGTATATGTTACCATACAAAAAGTTTGGGATCAGTAAGTTTTTTTTTGTTTGTTTGTTTTTTTAGCAAAATTAATAGTTTATTCAGCAAGGATGCATTAATATAATGATCATATATATATATATACAGTGGGTACGGAAAGTATTCAGACATTTTAATCTTATTTTCTGTCGTATATGTTACCATACAAAAAGTTTGGGATCAGTAAGTTTTTTTTTGTTTGTTTGTTTTTTTAGCAAAATTAATAGTTTATTCAGCAAGGATGCATTAATATAATGATCATATATATATATATACTGTATATATGTGTGTGTGTGTGTGTGTGTGTGTGTGTGTGTCTGTCTGTGTATTTATGTATGTATATAAAATCATAATCAACAATTAATTTATTTCTTTTGGAGCTCAAGAAACATTTTTTATCATCAATTATCAATAATCAATTTATTATTATTGTCAATTATCAAACAATTATTAGCCCCTATTTACAAGTACACATTAGGATAGACTTGTTCTAAAAAATCTAATTATTCTTTTTTCTGGAATTATTTACATCAATAGAACAATTGAGTAGGGCTGCACGATAAATCGAAATGGAATCGAGATCACGATACAACAGAAGCTGTGATTGTTATGCGTATCTTTTAGTGAAGCAATGCATGACCACCTTATTATTTAACCCATTATCAGCATATTGGGACACTCGTAAAGGCAGCCAGCCAGTAGAGATGTCCACCATCGAACACAGCCATAGAGATCCTGTCTACAAAGTCATCTGGCTGCAGTCGAAGACAGGCACGGACATCTTCTCGGCTTCTACAGATGGTCAGGTCTGTGTGCAATGACACAAAAGTCTAAAAATAAAGAAATAAACCACACAATATTTCACTGCGACTTGCATTGCATACTAATGAAGTCATCAGAGATAAAAGATAATCTCGCTTCTGACATCAGGTACTGTGGTGGGACATTCGGAAGATGAGTGAGCCCACTGAGAGACTTATACTGGACCCTAGTAAAAAGGGGAACCTTGATAATGCCCTTGGTGCAGTCTCGCTGGAGTTTGAGACCACTATGGTAAGAGGAACTCTTAGTTTTTGGCTCACTTGTAGATATAAATGTTGAGAACTTAAACATGCTTTGTTTTTTATTACACAAGCCCACTAAGTTCATGGTGGGCACAGAGCAGGGTCTTGTGGTTTCATGCAATCGCAAAGCAAAAACCCCAGCTGAGAAGATTGTGTGTACATATAGCGGACACCATGGTCCCATTTACGCCCTGCAGAGGAACCCATTATTTCCTAAGAACTTCCTGACCGTGGCTGACTGGACCGCCCGCATCTGGTCGGAGGACATCAAAGAGTCCTCTATCATGTGGACCAAGTAACTTCTGTTTTGTTGTTCAAATGCTGCATTACACATTTATTTATTTATTTATTTTGGGGGGGAGATTCTCAATTTTATGTACACTACAATTAAAAAGTTTCTATTTGGCAAGGATGCATTTGATTGATCAAAAGTGACAGTAAAGACTTTTACATTGTTACAAAAGAGTTCTATTTCATTTTAAGTAATGCTGTTCTTTTAAACTTTATATTCATCAAAGAATCCTGAAAAAAAAGAAAAAAAAAAACATATTAAGCAGCAAAACTGTTTTCAACATTGATGATAATAATAAATGTTTATTGAGCACAAAATCAGCATATTAGAATGATTTCTGAAGGATCATGTGACACTGAAGACTGGAGTAATGATGATGAAAATTCAGCTTTGCATCACAGTAATAAATTACATTTTACAAAACCAGTCATAAGGGTCAGTTTTTTTAAATTGAGTAAATAAGCTTTGAATAAATAAGCTTTCCATAAAACATTTGAATAAATAAGCTCTCCATTGAAGTATGGTTTGTTAGGATTGGACAATATTTGGCTGAGATACAACTATTTGAAAATCTGGAATCTGAGGGTGCAAAAAAATCAAAATATTGAGAAAATCGCCTTTAAAGTTGTCCAAATGAAGTTCTTAGCAATGCATATTCCTAATCAAAAATTAAGTTTTGATATATTCACTGTAGGAAATGTACAAAATATCTTCATGGAACATGATCTTTACTTAATATCCTAATTATTTATATACCCGTGCTACTTATGACTGGTTTTGTGGTCTAGGGTCACATATATTGAAATAGAAAACAGTTCAGTTAAATTGTAATAATTATCATAATATTACAGCATTTACTATTTTACTAGCATAATAATATTTACAGTATTTTTGATCAAATAAATGCAGCCTTGAGCATTGAAAGAGACTTTCAAAAACATTTAAAAATCTTACCAACCCCAAACTTTTAAATGGTATTGTAGATGTTTGGTGTAACGTGCACAGGTGCCAGTATTTTTAATCTGTTTCTGCAGGTATCACATGGCCCATCTGTTAGATGGCTGTTGGAGTCCAGTCAGACCCTCGGTTTTCTTTACTGTAAAGATGGACGGCACCTTGGACGTGTGGGACATCTTGTTTAAACAGAACGACCCAACTCTCAGCCTCAAAGTTGGTGCTTAATGTCTCTTCCTTGTACTGAACCCATCTCACAGTCCCATATCTCAGCGTTATGTATTTTAAGAAACATTGACGATGTCACAATGTGTGTGTTTTTTCTCACAGGTTTGTGATGAAGCCCTGTACAGCATCCGAGTGCAAGATAACGGCCGTTTCCTGGGCTGTAGCTCTCAGCTGGGAACTACCACACTGATGGAGATTTCTGCAGGCCTGTGCACACTGCAGAAGAACGAGAAGGCCCTGGTCTCGGAGGTCAGACACAAACACACCTGGACATGTGCAATATACAGTTCTCCTTTTTTCCGTATAAAAATATACATGATATAATACTGTTCAAAATTGACCATGGCTGCATTTATTTGAACAAAAATACAGTAAAACAGTAATATTGTGAAATACTATTACAATTTAAAATAACTCATATATTTTAAAGGGGTCATATGATGCGATTAAAATTTTTCCTTTCTCTTTGGAGTGTTACAAGCTCTTGGTGCATAAAGAAGATCTGTAAAGTTGCAAAGACTAAAGTCTCAAATCCAAAGAGATGTTCTTTATAAAAGGTAAGAGTCAGCCACGCCTACCTAAAACGGGCTCGTTCTAACACTCCCCCACATATCTACCTCACTATGTGGGAAGATTTGCATAACGCCGCCCAAATGTTCACGCAAAGAAAGAAGGCGTAACTTTTATTCTCGCTGTAGTATTGTTGTTGCCGCCGCCATGTCGTGAAGGCGCTGTGTGCTTCGTTGTGAAAGCGAAACTACTTTGTTTGGCCTTCCAAAAGAGGATGATATCTGCTTCGTCATGCCTGGAGCTGATCCGTGCTGGTTGCTGAGGAAATACTACAACTTCGCGCTGTCGATCGCCGAATCGGCTTTCACCGTGGACGAAGAGGAGTCCATATAAACACATTTCATTACACCAAATACACAAAATAATGTTATTTTTAGCAGCATCATATGACCCCTTTAATACATTTTAAAACATAATTTCCTGTGATGGCAAAGCTGAATTTTCACATGACACATGTCACATGACCCTTCAGAAATCATTCTCATATGTGACCACAAAACCAGTCATAATTTTTTTAAATTGAGATTTATACATCATATAAATAAGCTTTCCATTGATGTATGGTTTGTTAGGATAGGACAACATTTGGCTGAGATACAACTATTTGAAAATCTGGAATCTGAGGGTGCAAAAAAATCTAAATATTGAGAAAATCGCCTTTAAAGTTGTCCAAATTAAGTCCTTAGCAATGCATATTACTAATCAAAAATTAAGTTTTGATATATTTATGGTAGGAAATTTACAAAATATCTTAATGGAGCATGATCTTTACTTAATATCCTAATGATTTTTGGCATAAAAGAGAAATTGATAATTTTGACCTATACAATGTATTGTTGGCTATTGCTACAAAATATACCCGTGCTACTAATGACTGGTTTTGTGGTCCAGGGTCACATATGCTGATATCTAATATGCACAAGAAATATTTCTACTTATTATCAACATTGAAAACAGTTGTGTGTGCATCACATTTTTGTTGAAACCATGATACTTTTTTTTTTTTTCAAGATTCTTTGATTAAAAGAAAGTTCAAATTCAGCATTTATTTGAAAGAGACATATACTTTTAACATTGTATATGCCTTTGCTATCACTTTTGATCAATTTAATGAAAACAAACATCTGGCTAATCTAACATTTTGTCCATTAAAAACAAAGTAATTTACACAATAAGAAGAACACAAAATCTGTAATATAAAACTAGAATGCTTTTAAAACTAGATATTTATTTTTTTTAATTATGCTAAGGGAAATAAAAGTTCCCCTAAATTACACTAAAAAGGATGTAAAAAAAAAAACTTTTGTATGTACTGTACATCCATCTATCATACACTGAACTTGTGTATTTTGCAGATGTTTGAACGCGAGACCAAGCGGGAGAAGATTCTGGAAGCTCGGCACAGAGAGATGCGTCTGAAGGAACGCAGCCGCTCTGAACAGAGCCGAGAGGACGAGGGCAAAGAGGCAGATGGGGAGGAGAGCGCAGCGGAGCTGGTGGCGCGTGCAGAGAGAGAGTTCTTCGACATCATGGAAGCTGAGAAAAAGAAAGAGGAGAAAGAACGAGATACGGTGAAGGATGTTCTGCTTCTTGAGTGAATATGCTTATTCTAATGTTTTAAAAGAAACGCAGTTTTGGGAAGGTTACTTTGGAAATGTAATAGGTTACAGATTACAAGTTACCCTATTTAAAATGTAATAGTAGTGTAACTTTTTCAATTACTTTATTAAAGTAATGTAACTGATTACATTTGATTACTTTTCTAGTAAACAAAGACAAAACTACAATAGCATATTTACAGATGAAACTGACCTGCTCTTGAAACCCTGAACAGTAGTTTAGCTTCTCTGCTCTACCTGTGAGCTTCCACAGTCCTCTCCATTCGCTCTCTCGCATTGATTACTCTGATCCAAACTGTTTGGTTACATTTATTTTGTAATTAAATTACGTAACGCCGTTACATGTAACTAGTTACTCCACAACACTACTCCACAACACTGAAGGAACGTCAAACCTTTAATCAAGGTTTTTAACCACACATCTGTGTGTTTTGATGGATGTTGTCATATGTGTGTTTTAAGAACAGCCTGTCAAATTAAATTGCCTCCCTTTGTTGAGCAAATTGCACCCCATGTTTTGACTGTTGCTCCAATAAGATAAGAGTCCCGGGCTCTGTATATAACCCTGATAGCTGGGGTGAAGAAGCTCTATTGTGAAAGACAAAGAAAGAAAAATCAATAAAGTCTACTTCGCCTATACCCAGAATGCTTTGTGCTCCACTGTGATTGGTGAGGAGGCATTTGAGCTTGCGTGAGCATCAGAAGTGTATTGCTATAGGCTTTTCTACTCAAAGGCTCATGTGATTAATGGTTTTGGCCTTTTCAAGGACCTAAGTTATTTGAAAATAAAGAGGGGGTTTATAATTAGGTTTGTTTTATGTGTCTCACGTGATTTCTAGGCAATTAATTGGACAAAAAAGTAGTTTGGCTGGTCTCATAGTTTTTGATCTGTCTTTTCTTTTTCCCTTCAGGAGAAAGGTGTGTGTGAAGAGAAAGATTTCCAGGAGGAGCATGAAACTAATGGTGTATCATCCTTTACCAGAAGAGAAATCTCTCAGTAGATTGCCAAAAAAGCGCTGTTCTCATACTCGGATCATGTTCGCAACCCATTTTACTTCCATAATGTGATGTATATTTCTGAGTGAAATGGGATATTCAGTGAGAAAACTTTTATTTATCATGAACATATCAGATCATGAACATACTCTGTAAAGCTGCTTTGAAACAATGTGTATTATGAAAAGTGCTATACAAATAAACTTGACTTGACCAGGAATGTGCATTAAGAAAGTAAATTGGTGATTTCATGTCGACTTTAAGGAAAAAATGCAGCTGGATGCTTATTGTTTGACTTATGTTATGTCATGTACGTGTCTAATTAAATAAAATACATTTAGCATTTTTATTTTATTAATGTGTGATTATTGCAATTAGTCCAGCAGTTGTCAGTGTTGTTTCAGGCTTCCGTTCATCTTTCATATTCTCAAAATAGCATCAGATGATGTTGTCTGAAATGGAATTGTGAAATTGGTAGTGACTTTTTGCAATAAAATATAAAAATGTTCATAACAGTCAGTTAAGTCAGTTGTAAATATTCATTATTGTTTGATTATATTTGTCATTATATCCTTCCACACATTATTGTTTATTATTTCTATTCTCCTTAATGTAGTCTTACCAACATTTTAAAACTGTTCACTGTTAATTTTAACTATCGTATTGTTTTTAGTTGTTTGTCACTTTGGACAAAAGCGTCTGCCAAATCCCACAACTATAACCATAAATATGATTTTCAACTTACCTGCTTCCTGCATACCGACAGTCGATTGGTCGCCGCATACGGTTTTCATTGGCTTTAGCGACAACTACCGATGATATTGGCACTGCCCTTATTTTGTTACCCCTTGGCTTGTGCCACTGCTGTGGTAGACTCGTGCAGGAGGACTTTGTGTTGTTGATGATGTATGGCTCAGCTCAGCTCAGCATCTCTGGCTCGTGCCAGGTCCACGGCGTAGATTAGACCCACGGCGTGTGAGCAGTAGCCTGGCGCGCTAAAAATATAAGGGAGAATGTTATCATTGCAAAGTGGTCAGGCTGTTTTGTGTTTATTCCACAAGATTTATGGATAAGCTGTTTGATTTATAATTATTAGATTATTTTCAAATTTCACTTACCCTGCTGTGCATGAACATAGCTGTTTCCCATTTGAATGGTCAGCGTATGAGGCGGCTGCTGCTTGCGCTGGGACCTATAGGCTTTAGCTTCAATTTTGATGAAATTATTCTCTAATCGGTTGCATATTATGTCATGGATATATCCCTCGAATGCATACTGCAGTCCCTTTTGTCTTGCTCTCTCAGATATTTCACCTGTTCGCCAAAAATTACTAATTATCTCCTTGGGAATGTCTGACACCGGTGCATACATACTGTAATAGACGTGCCAGGCGCGAAAGCTTGTCAGGCGTAGCAACAGTAACTAAGGAGGGCGGAGCTTAGCGAAGGGTCAATTCTGAGAAATAAAGTCAGAACTATAAACTCGCAGTTGCGAGAAAAAAGAGGCAGAATTGCTTTTTTATCTCGCAATTGTGACTTTATATCTCGCAATTCTGGCTTTATAACTGGCAATAGCTTCTGTGCACAAGCGTAGCGACGAACTTCCGCTGTCGCCATTCAGTCTTTAAACAACTGAAAAAGTGGAGTACCTTAATTCTTAGTTTCTTGAAATATACTGTATATTGATTAGCCCCCTTAAGTTTAACTAGCTCATTATCAGGTATAATAAAGATGGAATCAAATGAAATCAGCATTTGCAGTCACTAAATTACAGCCAGATATTTAAAAGTTTGTAGAGAGGCACGACACAAGACTCAAGAATGATTCAAGAAAGCATATTTATATACTGTATATACTAATTTTTGCAATAACACATAATACAACATCATAAAAAAGACCCCCTTTTCCATCAGTTGCTGCATGGACAGAAAGGCTGTAGGCTTCAACTCCTGTATATATATATATATATATATAATTTCAATTATATACTATTACTAGGGCTGGGTAAAAAATATCGATATCAATATTTTTCAAATTCTGTCCATTGTACTGCAGTATTTAAACAATAAATGCCGTTTATTTTATTATTATTTTTGTTTTGCCGCTGTTTAATGTGGAGTGACAGACTGCTGTGCTGTAGTAACAATTCAACAGCGCGAGGTGCACGTGAACTGATCATCTCCTCCACATCAATACCAGTTTCAGCACAAAATAAACATAACTAAACATCCGAAGGTAAGTTAAAAGAAAGAGTACAACTTTACAATCCGTATAATCGCTCAATCAGTGTTTCAGCCGCGCAAACACGTCAAAATATAACGGGTTGTAAACGTAACATCACATTTACCTCATTAGTCAGATAGAAAAATAAACTGGGGCATTTTGCTAAATACTGTATATGCACCATATAGCCTAACATATTCATTATAATTTTTTACTGTTCTTCAATGTTTAATTTAATAAATCCATCAAGTTTTTATGACAGCCACCATTTAAATGTTTATATTAAAAAAAAACGTATTGAAGTAGAAATATTATTACGTAATTGTAACTTTATTATTTAAAAAACTTCATCAAGTGTAATTTTTGCAGTTGTACAGCCTACAAATCAGTCAGTTTTAACCTTAAATTTTATAGTAATGTAGTACCACTACCAACTGACTAATGTATATTTTACAGCATTAGTTGAGAGATTCTTTTTTCCTTGAAAAAATTTGGCATGTACTGTACCTGATATATATCCAAAATAATTGAATTGGTAATCGAATCGAACCGCAAGCTTGTGAATGAGAATCGAATCGTGACATTTGTGTCAAAACCCAGGCCTAACTATTACTGACATGAAACAGGACCAACAGTTTTGAATCGAAGGAAGAACGCTGCAGTACAATTCCTGACCAGCAGGTTTCGCTGCTGCCTCAGAGTCTGAGAATGTCTGTCCACCTGAGTGAAGAAGCATGCTCATCTCTAGGGACATCACAAACACAACACACTCACTCACGGTTTACTGTGGGTGGAGAAACACACATCCTCAGAACAAGGACCTGACGGACTTCTCGGGCGTTTAAGAGACGCTCGCGACCCGCGTTTGACCGTTCAGCCTGTTTTATAATCTTAGAGAGAGAGAGAGAAGCGCAGGTGAATTGTTGCATGAATCATGACCGCGCGGCGTCTGCTGCGCTCTCTTCACGTGACGCGCGTGTTTTAGCTGACAAATAGCCGTGAAAACGTCCCGCAAAACATTACGATGAAGGACACTGGAGAATCAAAGGATCATCAGCTGACAGTACGTTAAGTCCAGTGACTTATTATTTACCTGCACTTGTGTCTTGTAGAGTTTGTAGACTGTGTTCAGCCAAATGTGTATGTATTTAGGTAGATTAGAGACTGTGTTTACATTTTTGTTCGCGTGTCATCAAATATATAGCTTATATTCTAACAATATCTTGTAGTTGTAGACTTTGTTTCAACCAATAATAATAATAATAATAATTATTATTTATGTATGTTATATAGAGTATATACATTTATGCATTCTGATGCACTTGTGTAGAGTTACAGTATAGAGTTACAGTGTGTGTATATACACAGTATGTGTATATACACAGTATGTGTATTATGAGATATAGTTAGCTCATGTTTTATATATATATATATATATATATATATATATATAAAATAAACAATAAATAAATATGCATCCACTATGCGTGTGTATACTTGATTTCTGTATACTGCATG